TTAACAAGGGTTTCACTACTCGCAGAATTTTGATTGTATCCCCATGAAATATGTTGGGAGTTGAAGTCGCCACAGAAAATGACGGGAAAAGGTGGAAGAACTGGAGAAGGCCATTTCACTTCTGGTGGCTTGTAAACGTTTACGATGGTTTGATCACTTCCGGATGGCGTCCCGTGTACATCAAATTCTTGACTATTGGAACAAAGCCCGGTTGCAGGAATATCATCTCTGACGTATGTAGCCAAGCCATACTGCCGATGGTGTGAGTATGAGATTACTGTGTAACCAATGATTGTTAGATGTTGATCCTTTGTTGTGTGCGTTTCCTCAATACATCTTCTGCATGTGTTTTGGCAAGTTCTTGTATGATGTCTCTCTTACTGGCCGAGAGACCTTCAACGTTCAGTGGAGGATGGTGTAGTTTCCTTCTTCGGATAGGATAATCTCAAAAGGGGATCCTTCCGTTGGCATGTTTGTATTGATTTAGATTTTACTTATTTTAAATAAATACTTAACATAGATACCTACAATGAATTTTAAGTAATTATCAATCTCCTCACACACATGCTATATCAAAATTCAAAGCAATACTGCAGTTTTTATCCACGCACTGACGTGGGAAGTTTAGCTTAATAAATATGATATGTAAAGTATAATGTTTTATGGTGTGTGTTAAATGGTCTTAATATTAAATAAAATGCATGCTATGACCAACACTTCCATATATAGTGGTCGTAATGTAAATGTAACTAGAAAAACCAAATTTATGACTTTGTGCATTCACCAGCTAAGAATTAAATACTGTATGCGTAAGTGACTTTTGTGATTGGTTGATTGCCATTTTTTCAATGCTTGGTGGGTATAAGCCAATCCAATCTTGTTGTTTATAAATCGCCTTTCATTGCAGATACGAAGCGCTACACCCCACATATTTAAGCACCTCACAACCCAGAGTCATGATCGATGCCCAACCCAAGCAGATAACAAGTACACAAATCAAAAGAAGCAGCGGTAAAGTTCGGAATCATAAAAAAATAAACAATAAATAAAATAATAATAAATAATAAAGCCTATTAATTAAAGAGGTAAGTCTTTAAGTTAGACCTAAAGACAGGTACAGATGGTGAAGATCGAGTGTGCACTGGAAGGTTATTCCAGATGAGTGGCATCTTACACGGAAGCGATTTGTTGCCAATACGCCTGTTGAATATAGGCTGATGAAAATATCGTTTAAAGAAGATCTGGTACTTTACATGCAAGTAAAAATCAGGGATATTATTGCGGGAAAATGCCAGACAGCGACTTGAATGCAAGAACCATTATTTTGAAGTAAACTATTGGCTTAAAGGGCAGCCAGTGAATTCACGTAGAAGATGTCATGTGTGAGTATGAGATGATTGGATGTTATAAATCAGATGTGCTGTAAACCATTTGCTTAAAGGGTAGCCAGTGAAGTTCACGGAGAAGACGTGATGTGTGAGTATGAGAAGATCGAATGTTATAAATCAGACGTGCTGTAAACCATTTGCTTAAAGGGTAGCAAGAGAAGTTCACGGAGAAGATGTGATGTGTGAGTATGAGAGGATGGAATGTTATAAATCAGACGTGTTGCAGAATTCTGTAGCTTCTGTAATTTTAGGGAATTCATTACAGTCAGTTCAGAGTACAATGAATTGCAGTAATCAATTCTTGATGAACAAGTGCAAGAACGGCTACATGACAAAAGTCGTGGTCGATAAATTTAAGAATCCTCCATAAGTTACGAATATGGTACTTTGTCGATTTACAGACGGACTGACTTGATTAGACAGTGACAACATGTAATCAACTGTTACACCAAGGTTTCGGACTGAGTTAGTGGTTAAAATACGAAGTCCTCCAAGAGACAAAGAAGCCAGCTTAACATGACCAATCTTTGAGTGCCTTCTGGAAGCACATAAAATGAATTCCGTTTTGCTATAATTTTGAGCGTATTCTGAGCCATCAAAATACATAACCTAAGTCTGTCCAAAGCCAGATCAACAGTTGAGGGAACAGAAGGATGAAAATCCAGATACAGTTGAACATCATCAGCATAAAAGGGTAATAAAGGCAATGACGCCTAATAAGCTCTCCATGCGGACTGATATAAAGGTTCCTTGTGAACCCCAAATGCTCATAAGTGTGGTTCCGAGTAATTATTATTGACACTGACACGACTACTCCGGTCGGTAAGATAGAAATAAAACCACCTTAAGGCATCCTGAAAGTTTAAAATAAATATTATGACGATTGATAAGGATCTTGAGGTAAACCGTGTCGAACGCAGCTGACAAATCGAACAAGACTAACAAGACACCTCGATCTTATGAATTGAAACAGCAATTCTAGTATACACCAGGGGTGGGCATAAACATCGGTCGGAGGGCCAAAGTGATTTTTTGATTTAACACCGAGGGCCGCACCCAACCATTGATGTTTCCGGTGAGCATGTTATATACACCTTGAGTAATGAATGCTGTTCCTTTACAATGGAGTTGACGATAAGCTTAATGCAAGGGTTCAACATGATTGTTCGGTGTAAGGTAAGCATTGAGTTGATTCATTGCCGCCTTTTCAATCATTTTTTAACAACAAATTAATTAGATACAGATCTAAAATTGCTCAAAACATTGTTATCCACGCCAGATTTCTTTAAACTTGGTTTGACAACAGCACACTTATAAAAAAATTGGAAAAACATTTATAAGCTTTGTAAGTATAGGCAGAATAAGAGTAATATTTTTTGAGCAGCCAAGAAGGACAGTCGTCAGGACATGATGATTTCGATAAGCATTTCCTAAGCAAACATGTCCACATCAGACATTGGAGAGAACACAGAAAAGACCACAGAACATTGAGAGTCATAAGTGGGATCACCAGGACAAGAATTCAATGTATGACGATCATGGCGAATACCAGCACCTTTCCAACAATGAAGTTGGCAAACCTATTACCTAAATCTCCAGGGAAATCACAGGCAGTGACGTTGAGTTCCTATAAGAAGACAATTCAATGCATTGAATGACGACTTCATATCGGTGCAACCAGATTACAAGTTCTTGAAGTGCTTGGCCTTAGAATCAACAACGGCATCTTTGACACTACACCTTGCAGCATAAAAAGCATCACGGTTAAGCATCAGATGTGTCCTTGTAACTTGCGCCCACATTGTCTGCTCACATAATGCTCTCTTCAAATTGTTTTTTCTTTGGTGGATGGATAGCATCAGTGGCGGAACTAGGATATATATTCTGGGGGCAGGGGGAGGGCTGGAGAAGGGGTAAGAGGGGGGTTACCTCCCAAATGAGATTTTTTTAAGAATAGCGACCTCTGAATGGCCGGAAATGGCACTCTCAGACTGTGACAGACATGTGTTGGCATGGTGTGGGCCTATTTTTACTGTGTTATATAGTCTGACTGCCCGACGAGCTCTGTCCGGCGGGGGCTTGACCTGTCCGGTAAGGGGGCTTAAGTCCCCCTGTCTCCCCGCTGACGCCGCCACTGGATAGCATGTGGAGCTTTTATATATGAACATGTTTCCAATATATGGTCAACTCACACAATGCATTACATATCATCTTTTATAACTTTGTCATTTAAAATAGTATATTTTGTACGTAAAATAACTATTTTTCTAGTTATCTTCTGATTTTTGTGTAAATTTGAAATTGTATACAATTAAAATTTGTACACTAAGAAATTATTATATTCTCTTTTTTGTAGAATGCTTAATTATATCATCTTTCTGTATCTTGTTTTTGTTGGGACCCTGAAACTAGCTTACCAACTTAAAGGGTTATCCTCTGTTTTTCCTCTGTTCCATTTTGTCTTATTGTCAATGTTCTGCTTTTAGGTTTAGTAATGCATATGATCTTTTTTTTGTAATATGTTAATCGATTCTGTTTTTTTTTTGGAATGGATAACAATAAGTATTATACTGTATACTATACTATCTATAGGATGCCCCTCAGCGAAATATCTCATAAATTATATTTCAACATTTTTTTTTGGGTACCGTATATGATCAATTCACATGACACAATATCTATAAGATGTCCCTAAGCAAACTATCTCAAAAATGGATATAATGTTTTTCCTAAATCTTCCTTGACCCCTCCTGCAAATGTCTGGACCCACCCTAGTACTCAAAGCTTCGCAAAAGGTAGCCGAATGCGGCCTTACGAGTCATTACAAAAGTAAATATTTTGTCAAGCTCTGCATGATGTATCATTAAGAATTTTATCCAGATGTATCATTAAGAATTTTATCAAATTGCTTAAACATATTAGTCTGGTATACTATGTTTGTGGTAGGTCTTTACTGAATTATTTTTAGCACTTTTAATTGTTGTGTAAATCCTTGTATTGAATAGTTAATTGTATAGATTAATACTAATAACCATAAATAAATTTATAAAATATTTTTATACCAATTAACAGGCGTATAAATAATACAGTTTTTATATTCTTTTACCAGACTCTGACTGTTAATGAGTGTGAAGATGTGTGTAAAAACATTGAATTAGGAAAAAATGTTGGTATTATTGTTTTTACATTGTAGTTTATAACTTATTTGATCCGTATAAATGAGATAGGGTTATTCGTTTTCATTGTTTTTTTTTTTTAAGGTTTTTAGAATTTACTACAGACTAATAAGCAAAACACCTCATTATATAACAAAAATAAAGTTGAAAAACGTTTAGAACATGTCATTGCCTGGAACAAAATCAGCCCAGAGCAGCAGCCCGGAGAAAAACCGACACACTTAGCACTATAGTGGTAGCAGTATCAATTACCAGTATAATCAGGATACCAAGGGAGTTTAACCAATAGCCATTGTTGCTTTGCTTAGGACTAGATGTTTGATGTTTAATGTTTGATTAAGCAAAAGCTATATTGAGTTGTAAATTACTACTCAGTGACCAAATGAGCTAATTGGAGGTGTAACGCCTCACACCCCAATGCCCCTGGCCTAAATATATTTTGTGACATATCTGATACCGTTTGACTCGTCAGTTACTATATATTTATAATATATATATATATATATAATTATATATATATATATTAATTTGCAATACATCTGCATTAATTTGTGTCCATTTGTGTTTTAGAGTCTTACTACAGCTTCGAATTTTTATAATAATTTCCATTCCAAATTTCTCTGAAGTCCTGTTTCATTGTTACATAATCTCGCGGTCACCCGATGCCGAAACGGAATCACCTTATTGAGATCTTTGGTAAAATCTCTGAGGCGGAAACCTTCAATATTGTCAAAATCTTTTGGAAAAGATGGAACCTCTTTTTTCATTGTCGGTTCATCATTTGTCGCAAGAAGCACTATGCGTAAGTACCGAATGAACAATGTGGTGTTGTCGAAGTAATCATACATAATTTGAATAGTACCCTTAAGATCATGACGCCCTGTATCTTTCACCATTTCATTCAACAATCCAAATACCTTTAACATATTTAGTGGATTCATCAAATCTGCCTCCGGACACCAACGTACCCAGTTTAATGTTTCTGTAACAAGCACGGCATGTTTGTTAGTGTTGCTCAGAAGAGGGCGCATGGATGATAGCAATGTCCTGATGCCTGTGTAGTCTGCAATGTTGGACGTCATAATACGGTCGAATTTAGGCTCAACATTAGGTTCGTTACAAAGTTCTATACAATTTTTTAGAACAAATTTTGAATAGATATTACCTTTTTTAAAAAATGCCAATGCAGACTTAATGACGCTGGTAATATACGTATGGAATAAATCGACGATTGAATCTGGTTGTGATATTTTTTTTGCCTGGACATAATCCCAGCCGCTAAATGGCCATATGTCAGCTCGGATGCAGTAAACGAAATTATATAACTTTGGTCTTGTCAGAACATGATGTAAGCGACCAGAACCCTTGTTTCCTGGTGAAGGCAATGGACGTCCAGTAAGGGTTGGGTTGTCAAATTTTAAATGGCTTCTTTCTCGTAGTAAGAACAGCCCATTTTCAAAGTACTTTATTGCAGATGCACGGTACTTTTGAGGAATTTTTTGAATATAAGTCGATAAACCATCTGATGAATCAGGATCTCCACTAAACATACTCGATCTCTGAGCAGACAAATTAACAGAGTTCCACTTACAAGTTTCACATTCCATGTCCGTCCACTTTCTCCATACCTCTTTCATCATTTCAAAATCCTTTTTCTGTATATCCAGCTGACTGTTTGTCTTAACCTTCAGCGTTTCGACAGTGTGCTCTAGAACTTCCTTGAGGATTGTTCTAAGGAGATGAAAATCTTCATCTGGTAGTTTAACCGAATACCATATATTTGTGATTGACTCCTCGATAGATTCTCTTGAGCTCTGAGTTATCAGCATGTACAAAAGCAGTACATCTCTCGCCAGAAGAAACGGATCTATGTCGTTCAATGTATATCTGATGTTACCAGTGAAATTGCTTGGAAGTGATGCTGTTGTAAGCAGAAGATTGCGTAAGTCCCCAACACCAGCGAATAAGATGTTATAATCTCTAGCGAGTTGAGAATCAACATCTTCCGAAGAGGGATCAGCTTCATTTAAGCCTAGCTTCAGTACATCGGCAGCAAGAGTATTACCAATATAATAAGGTGTATCACCCATTTTTTGCATTCCTTCGAAATACTGAAACTGGAATCTGTGGGTTTCAGCCATCGTTTTTAATTGTTTGCGAATTTCCTTGCATTCAGCTTTGTGAGATGGCCAGTGTTGGCGTTGACATTCACGGCTGCAATATGTGGTTTCTTTACATGCAGAGCACTGGAGAACAAAGAGAAAAGTTTGACACATTAGTAAATTGTTGATACAATATCCAAAGCATGTTCGCAAAATTAATTATTCAATAGATCTACTTATAAAGAAAGGAATATGTGTCCTGAATTGATTAGTCTGAAGAATAATTATTAAGACACTTTCTTCGTATAATCAAATACTTCGATGTAAATTAGGTGATTGATTGATCGATTAGCTGGTTGGTTGGTTGCTGGTGATTGAATGATTGATTGATTATTTATTGATATTATTCTTTTAGTATTGTGTGTATGTATGTGTTCTATAATTATTAATGTATAAAGAAGTAGATATAAAATTGTTACAAAACAGATTCATGAAAGACATAATGTTTTCTTCTATTAAGTATGTTTATTTCTTAGATTTGGTGGTACATTAAATACCGGTAAACTACAAAATTATTTTAAAAAAAAACCCAAAAAAGTATTACACAATAAAGAAAATAAAACAAATCTCTTACTATACAGTTCGTTCTGGGTGTTTTGCGTCCAAAAGACGCTACACGGTTTACTATCGAAAATTGAAGGTTCTTTCTGGCATAGCACGCAAAACTGGCAAATAGCTTCCGAAAGACGAAATACCGGAACGCTTCCGTAGTCGTTGGTCCCGTACTACTTGTAACTCACAAGCTTATTTTTGTTTGCAATAGAACAGTTAAGGGTAATGTTTACATATTCAGTTCCACACAGGTTACTGCATTTTATTTGTGACTCACATAGGATACTGCACTTAGTTTTGATTTATTTAGGATCCACACAGGATAGCCATAAACTCAATCCACACAGGATAACTTTTGCAGCTGGACACGCACATTGGTAGTATGAATAACATAATATCCACGGTAAAATAATATATAGTACATAAAATCTTTGATAGGATACACAGGATACTTTAACGTACCAGGTCACACACTTTGATAGTGCAACTACAATTCCCATTCAGTTCACACAGGTCATACAAAAATCAGCTAACATTTCTGACTTTCTCTCAGTGCAGTTTCACCTAACTAACTCCGTTTTCTCTCAAACTTATTCTACCGCATAACATTACATAATCTTTCTACCAGCTTCTCACTTCATAACATTGCAAATCGTCTACACTATTCTTCACGTCACGTCACACCACTTTCAGTCTCCATATAATCAATACAATACCTTAAAAAACTTTATAACGTTACATATCCGTCTACTCTATTCTTAATTCTTCAATTCATACCACACCACTTTCAGCATAAAGATAGATATAAAAAGTACATATGAACAAAATTAACTGTCAACCCTCTATTTTGACTATACAGGTATATATAAAAAGTATGTATGAACAAAAATAACCCTCGTTCACAAAAATAATTACGAGTAAGTCAAAGAATTAAGTCGGCACTGAAAAATAATGCTTTTTAAAACTACTAATGGCTGTCCATTTATTCAGTTTGAATTAGAGAAAAAAACAAGCAAGGTGTTAAAAATAAAGTTGTGACATGTCTTTAATACAGTTTGAATAAAATACGGGGAACCGGAAACTAATACGAACATTATTTTTCGAAATGTATACTTTTCTTCTCAAATGCAACTATTAATTTATTAATAAAAGCGGGCAGTAGACACAGGAACGACATACTTTTTGCCAATTCCAGTGCTTATATTTTAACTACCCGCTCATGTTATTATTACAACTTTTTGTAAACAAATGTTATGTTTGAACTCAAAGGGAGGCCTAAATTGAATGGGGTTTTACTCCATACTGTATCAATTAAAGTTAATTTTGGCTGAAGAGGCTGGGTAACACATAATTTTGTCCTTCATTATCAATATATTGAATTCTTAATTATGAGAGATGTGTATAAGAGACAGTCATAATACGGTCGAATTTAGGCATTGCAACAAAACGTTTTATGATCTAAAACTTAATTATATGTAAAACAACATACAAAAAGTTTACCAAAATAGGACGTACATAAAGGTGTTTTTTATAACCAAAAGTTCAGCACTATTTGAAAGTAGACTTTTACACGGTACGTACGTACTGCGATTTTCAAACTTTTCTTGATTATGATTGGTCAACATTTAATTTAGGTCAGAACGTAGGTAATATCTGTTTGTTGCCGCAAGAGTGAGACCCGCGTGCGAGCTTCGCGATCGCGAGGTTTGGTGTGCGAATCACAGATACTAATAAAGAGCTTACTAATAAAGAACTTACTAATAAAGAGTGGCATGAGGTTACTAATGCGAACGATGTAAATTTAAAATTAAATATTTTTGAACGGGAATTAAATCACGCATACGAAAGATGTGTATAAGAGACAGGAATAAGCAACACTATACCAGCAACAACGATCACAACCAAGCCAGCAACTTTGACAAAGGTGAATAAAACATTTAGATGAGATGATAAAGGAACGCTGACGCAGTTCACAAAGAAAATTGCACCTGGAATTGAAACAAACCTCTTCAAAAGTTTATTCTATTATACCAATTTTGCTAAAGAAAAAAAAAAAAAGCACATTTATTTAACATCAAGAACATCAACAATTACTTTATGCAATAAAAAAAAACATCAACAACCATCTCAATATTAATTAGAAATACAAAGTTAATAGAAGAACATTTCTAATTACATTGATATTTCTGACACGAATTGTAAATATAATATAAAATAATAATTCTCCAAGAAATAGGATACTAGTTAAAAGATATAAATAATAAATAATAAAATTATGACCAATGAAATTCGTCTAATTCGCTGTAAGATTCCCAACTTGGTATTATATGCAAACTAGTACGAGCTTAGAGAATTACTGGATTCACTTGAACACTTTAACAACTATTGATAGGCATTTTATTGAAAGCTAGTTAAAGGTATGTGTAGATTTGTGTATTTGGTAGTACTATAGCTTCCTGTTAGATATACGATCATACGATCTTCAGAATAACATTGGACTAATAAAAAACACTTAAATGACATTTATTTCATAACTATGCGCGAAGCAGAAAACGTTGGAGAAAGAGGGGAAACCGAGGTGGAACAAGACGTAGAATACCCGTACTTATTTCCTGTCGTAACAAGTTCATAGCTAAAAAATTGGAAGGACCAACTTCTAGGCAAAGATGTTTAATCAGTTTGAGTATTTCACAAATCGTCAATAATCTTAGCAGTGGAAAGCATATACCAAGTAGGCCTAGGCAGACTAAGTCCAGTCAGGGACCCAAAGAACGTTTGACGTCGCAATTTCTTGTCATCATGCTAACTAACCCCTGGTCCACCCTAAATAAAATAGACGAAATTAGTGTTTTTCTGAAGGAAAAATATGTGGATATTGGGATTTTTAGCGAGTCTTGGATCAACAAGCAAAATGAACATACGGTATGTGTTGAGGGTTTTACATTATTTTATGAAGGGAGAACGAATAGAAATGGTGGTGGAGTAGCAGCGCTAGTTAAAGATGGTATTGTAGCTACTAAGGTGAACTATTTACCAGTCCCTGAGGAGTTAGAGTGTATGTGGCTTCAAATTCAGTTAAAAAGAACACCCCGAGAATTTTCTGCTATATTTATTTGTGTTGTGTACCACAGTCCTGGGCAATCTGTTAATTCTCACTTTGTACTCATCCAGTACCTCCGCGAATCGGTGGACATTATTAGATCTAGATCACCAAGAGCTGGACTCATTATATGTGGCGATTTCAACGAAGTCAGGCATAAGATAGGACGCTTATGTTCAGCAACAGGGTTAAAACAGATTGTAAAACAACCCACAAGAGGAACTAATACTTTAGATTTAATTGTCACCAACCTTGTCAATTATTTTGAAGAGCCACTAGTTTTTGCTCCGTTTGGATTTAGCGATCACGCAACAATATGTTGGAAACCAAATCCATCGTTCATCGGCATGAAAGGAAGCATTGTAACTAAATCATTCAGACCGTTTAGTGAATCTAATGTAAACGCATTTGGCAAGTGGATTACTAATAAAGAGTGGCATGAGGTTACTAATGCGAACGATGTAAATTTAAAATTAAATATTTTTGAACGGGAATTAAATCACGCATACGAACATTTTTTCCCACTACGAACAATTCGTGTACACTCAACGGACCAGCCCTGGATTACGCCTAAAATAAAAACAATAATTAAGGAAAGACAATTAGCATATCACAAGTATGGACAGTCTTCGAATATTTACCGCAAGTATAGAAATATCGTCAAATGGGAAATTAAACAAGCCAAGATTAAATATTATAAATATGAAGTAGCGCATTTACTATCTTCCAACTCAAGGCAATGGTTTAAACAAATCGGTAAAATGTGTGGAACTAGTAAAAATAAAAATGATTCATTAAATCTGAACATTGATGAATCGGATCCTGAGAAAATTCGCGAAGTGATTAACTCGAAATTATCTGAGATTTGCCAACATTTTGAATCGTTACAAATAAATAGGTTATCGACGTATCTTCCATATAAATCGCCTCCACCTACGTTAACGTTTTGGGAGGTGTACTACCGATTAAAGAAACTGAATTGCAATAAAGCTGCAGCTCCAGGCGATCTTCCTGTACGGTTGATAAAAACTTTCGCGTTCGAATTAGCCGTACCCTTGGTGAACATATTTAATAAATCACTCGCAATTGGAAAGGTACCAACAAGATGGAAGGAGGCCACTATTACACCAATTCCTAAGGAGAAGGGTACAATAATAATGTTGTTATGAATTTTTTACGTCCAAAGATTACCCCATTTATTGACGAAAGACAATTTGGAAATCGCAAAAATTCCTCTGTAAACCATTACCTTACTAGCTTAATGCATTTCATCCATAGTGGTTTGGACTTGCCAAACAATATTGCTACTCTGGTAGCGATTGATTATAAAAAAGCATTCGATTTAATAGACCGCCACACAATTGCTGTGAACAAACTGATTGATATTGGAGCACCACGTGAATTAATCCCATGGATATGTGATTTTCTTTCGGAAAGGAAACAACGTGTTTCATATAACGGCGGTTTCTCTGAATGGCAAGGAATAACCTGTGGCGTACCTGCCAAATTGAGCTGGTGGTTAAAGCAAGGCACTACAGATACATGTTCAATAGTTTCTCTGACAACAGCAGCCGCACCATTCACACGACCCAGCATATATCCACAGCCATCACATCCCAGACCATGTGGGTGACCATCAATGTCGATAGATATCAGCCGGTGAATTCATCGAGTATCTGTGTGGCTATCGCGCGTCCAGAGGTACCATGATCGTGTCTAGTAAAGGAAATAAAGGACTCGCATCTGTCTCTTATACACATCTAGATGTGTATAAGAGACAGGAATATGCTAGCCCAGTATGGCATACATCCTTAACTACTAATCAAATATATGAATTAGAGATGATACAAAAAAGAGCCTTAAAAGTAATTTTTGGCCAGAACTATGTTTCATATCCTACTGCGTTACAAGCCCTAAATTTGACACGATTAGATGAGAGAAGAGAAAAACTTCTAATGAAATTTGCCAAAACGCTTAATGATATTGTGCCAAATGCAATTAGAAAACGGAGGGGTGAACTAAGAGGTCACTGAGAAATGGGGGAAAAAATTGACGAATATTTTTGCCGTACAGAACGATATAAGAAGTCAACCTTCCCATCAATTTGTAAACTGTTAAATAAGTGAGAGGTTGCCTTTTATTGCCATAATCGGTCTTTTTTACAAATGTGCTTTGTTACGATTGAAATGAATGTGTTGGTGCTTGTTTGTTTTAAGTGATTATTATCTGATTTAAATAATTGTAAATAAAATTTTAATTAATTTTAGTGTATTATCTTATTTAAATAATTATAATACAATGTTAATTCCAGTGTAATATCAAATTTAGTGCCTTATTAATTTTTATTGGTGATGTTGTTGACTTGTTTTTTTTAAATTTAATTCTAGTGTATTATCTGATTTAAATAATTGTAAATAAAATTTTAATTAATTCTTGTGTAATATCAAATTTAGGCCTGATTAATTTTTATTGATGTTGTTAACCTGTTTTAGATGTTATGCATTCGAATATTTTAGATATGTAATTCAAATTTAGCCAATTTGTTTTTTAAATTTTTTCATTTGTTGTTGAGTGCAATCGTTTTAATTAGTTTATAATTGTTTTTTATGTCGAATATTTCTCAATTCAGCCCTTGTGTTGCCACGAAATATGTTTTGATGTGAATAAACCAGAATAAATAAATAAATAAATATAACACATAATTTTGTCCTTCATTATCAATATATTGAATTCTTAATTATGAGGACAGTCAGTGACCGAGCACAGAGGCACGGATTGGAGCTGCTCCTCACCCAGGGTTTGGCTGCAGAACCAAATCTTCTAGGATTAAGACTTAAACAAAGGTACAGTGTATACATCTGGCTCGTCTGCATTAT